GGTAGTAATTAAAGTTATAATATTATAATAAAGAAAAAAAGTATATAATGCACACAGTATCTACTATACCCAATGCAAATACTTAGAAGTTAAAAATCAAATGTTTAAGCAAAGAATTTAAATATATTTGCAGAAAATAACCCTTGCCCTCGATGAACAGTCCTTTCAATTGGAAAGGCTCATCATATAGTGATTATAATTTGAAGTAAATGTTATTCACGATTAGAGTCTTTTGTATTCTTAATTAAATAAATGTTGTTCACAAATAGTATCATATTATTACAAGTAATAGAATATTTATGAGTAAGAAAAAAGGAAATAAGTGAAAATCATTTACACCCTACAAACTTTGCTTAACATATCAAACTCTCTTTCTAACATTGAACAATATACATTCTCCTTCTTATATCTCAATTGGGTTTTTTTAGATGCTTATTTTATCCTTTATATTGTCAACATTCATCTCTTGTTTTTATTTCTTTTAATTATCATGATACTATTTCATTAACACATCTTTTTAAGTTTTCTAAAATTGCAGTAAAAAATGAACCATTTTCTGGCGTTGTTTTATTCTCTCACATACTATTCCTTTATTCATTCATTTATTTTTATTGCAAGTGTCACGACCCCAAATTTCCTCCGTAAAATATAGTGATGGCACATAGTCTCTAAGACTAGGTATGCCTATCAATGCGGAATATAACTGAATATAAACTGAAATTTAATCGTTAACAGTTGAATAAATAAGAACTGCAATTTAACAATTTCAACTCTCAAAACCAGGTAGGAATAAGTCACAAGTTTCTAAGAATTTATTCTCAATATCTCTATACATCAGAGTCTAAAGAAAATAAGGAAGACAACATAATAAGATAGATGGGGACTCCGGAGTCTGCGGACGCTAGCAAATATACCTCGAACTCTCCTCGTACGGCTACTCCACTGATGTCTAGTCTGATAAGATATACCTGGATCTGCACAAAAAGATATGTAGAAGCATAGTATGAGTATACCACAGCGGTACCCAGTAAGTGTCAAACTTAATCTCGGTAGAGTAGTGACGATGTCAAATTTAGGGCCTGAAAATAAATAATAAGGAACATGACAAAAGATTTAACAATAATAATAATAATAATAATAATAATAATAATAATAATAATAATAATTATAATAATAATAATAACAACAACAATAATAATAATAATAATAATAATAATAATAAAAGGTATCTAGTGGTGTTTTGGTAGTGAGGCGATGTGTTTATGCTCGTACCAAAGTTTAGAGGAAAGAGTATTGTATTCTTTAATTGTCTTATGCTAGTGGAGTGAAGGTTGATCGGTTTTTTTTTATTTTTAGGTGGAAAAAATTATATGTTTGGTTAAAAGTATATCCACTAAGAAGACTAGTTAATTGGTTTCTTTTATTAAATTGCACATTCTGCACTGTTAATGTTGAAAAAGGTTGTACGTTTATACATGTTTTTCTTATTCCTTATCTTTTCCCCTTTTTATCACTCCATGTCTCAATATTTTACAGTTCTTGTGTAAAGCATAGCAGACATAACATAGTATAAGGGAGTTATGGTCACCTTTAAATATTGCTAACTATACTTTAATGAATTATTTTTTATTATTATTTTATTTGACGATTCAGTGACCTGAAATCCTTAGTTAGTGGAAGATGAATTTACATATTAAGGGAAATAAAACATCATGTGAGTTCACTCTCTCTTGCATTTTTCGTTGGACCCAATTAGTTGTTGCAGCATTCTGTTGTTGCTGTCCAGCATTCTCTTAAGTTCAGCAAACCCATCATCTTGTCTCACAATCTGTTGTTGTTGAGGTTGTTGATAAGCCAGCTGCTGATTTTGCTGGTTGTAACCTTGTTGCCTTTGGTAAGGCACCACTTGACCCTGTGGTCACATAGCTCCAAAATTGTTGATGTTATTGTACTACTGATGTGCTGGTCTATATTGTTGATTCTGTTGACCCCATTCTGACCACCTTGCCTATGTCCCCCATAGTTGGCTACATAGTTCATATCTTCCTGATAGTGCTGGTTGTCACCTTCCGCACTCCACGAGCATACATAAGGTTGGTTAATGCATGGTGTACATAAGCCCCCATTAGTTGTGTCAACTATGTGTACCTACTGCTTTTGGCCTGATTCATCGATCATTTTGGTGAGGATACTCATTTGCATCATTAGAGTAGCCATATTTCGGCTATAGAGTTATTTGGATCCAAAGCCACATAGTGAACTACATGAGTAATCGTTGAGTCTCTTGTCATCCATCCTGAGTTTTGAGCCATTTTATCGAGTAGGATCTTGCATTCTCTGAATCATTTGCTCAAAAATGCTCCACTCGCTGAAGTATCAACATTGGCCTTTAAGCTGTCTGCCAATCCCATGTAAAACCTCTGCCCCAATATTTGCTCTGGAATGCCATGATGTGGACACTTAACAAGCATACCCTTGAACCTCTCCCACGTTTCTTGTAGTGTTTCTGTTGGTCTCTGCCTGAAGCTCAATATCTCATCAATTTGTTTGGCAGTCTTATTGGGTGGGTAGAACTTGTTTACAAATTGCTTGACTAATTCCTCCCACGTACTGATGGAGCTTATGGGGAGTGAATTAAGCCAAGTCTGAGCTTCTCCCGTCACCGAGAATGGAAACAATAACAACTTTATTGCGTCCGGTGTCACATTAAGTTGACTTTGTGTGACACATATCGATAGGAAATTTTTCAGATGTTGCTGATAATCTTCAATGTAAGACCCTAAAAACAGTCCCTGGTTCTGCAACAAATGTAGCATGTTGTTTGTGATTTGAAATGATTCCGCTTGTATTTGAGGGACTGCAATTGCAGTGGCCAGATTTTTCGCAGTGGGTTGTGCCCAATCAAACAAGGTTGCTTCTGGCACAAGAGGCGCCACACCCCGATTGTTCGGGTCATTACTTCTGTTATTTAGATTTTCTATTACGTCATCCATGTCTAGTTCAATTTATTCTGTCGAGTTTCGTTGTTGTTTGCCTTTTTTGTTTGCACAATTCAATGCCTTGAAAACTTTCTCAGGATCTAATAATGCTTCGAACAATTCACCAGTTCTTGAGAAGTTTCTAGGCATGCACCTGTAACACCCAAGACTACAAACGTTAGAATTTCAATGTATTTGGTTAACAAAAATGAAGAAAATTGACTACACTAAGAATTCTAGCAATTCTATTAGCTGCAATTAATACACCATTAACTCCCCGGTAACGGCGCCAAAATTTGATCACACCCAACTATACCTTATAAAAAGGACAAGCGGTCGTCGCAAATATATCCCGGCTAATAAGTCCGGAGTCGAATCCCACAGGGAATTAACCTATCAACCACAACCGTTAGACTCGCACAAATTCACACAATCAATCTTCAGAAATATTTAAATAACACTTTAAATTTTTATTAACTAAATATTACGTTATGAAAATGCAATAATAAATAAGTAACTATGAAGGGTTTGTAAATAAGAATTGGAATAATCTAAGGTTGTGATTTCCCCTATTGTCGGAATCTTTTCCGCTACGTTTTCTATAAATTTGCCTATGTCTTCTCTATCGATCATGAGCACTACGACTATTGTAACTCTCTCCCGAGTAATTACCATAATTTACTAGACGTATTCTCCTGAATTACGCTGGCTGGCATTAAGTACGACTCACTCAGATCGCACTAAAATTTCGTTATCCCTAGTCCCACCTTTAAGACCTTCGTATTAATCCCTCATATACGTTAGGAGTGATGTTGTTCAACAACAATCAAAATATGCACTCTCTCTCGAGTAATACATACTATATAGGCACAGCTAACTGAGGGCCCTTCAATCAACCACATGAATAATATAGTTGAACAAATAGAGAAAATACTACGGCAAATTTATATTAATGTAACAAAAAAATCATCTTTCAATAGGTTCCATCAAAACCCTAGATTAGGAGTTTAGCTACTCATACTCATAGTAATAATATCCCAAATATTTTGCATAATTAAATTACAAAGTAAGGATGAAAGGATGTAAAAATTGATGATTCTAACTCCCAACGGGCGATTCCACAAGCTCTTCTTGCCTCCGGTTGAAAAAGTCCTCAAAAGTATCATTTTTAGGTCTATTTATATGTGTAGGAAAAGACCTAAATGTGTAGGCCAAGTCCTAGTCAAATCAAGAGATGAAATAAGTCTTTAAAACTCGGACTGTGCACGCACAGACCTAGCCTCGCGGGGCATAACGCCTGGTGGACCTCGCCCCAGGCCTCCCGTCGCCAGGAATAAAGCCTGGTCAATCTCGCCTTCTGCCCGGCCTCACTAGGTCTCTCGCCAGTTACAAGCCTGGCGTCGCCAGGTATAATGCCTGGTGTAGGCATGGCTTTGCCAACTTCTCCTTTTTAACTGCTCCCGAGCATGCTTTCTATTTTTAAGTATCCCTTTTGCTCTACTTTCATCTCCAATTTACCTACACATAAAATAGACTCTGTTACGCACAATTAAAGTGTAGTTTATCATTAAAGCATATAAAATGTAAGGCAAATAATGTACGAAACTATGGAATTATAACCACACATCAATCAACAATAATAAAACTGAAGTGTGATGCAAGAGTTGATGTTGTGTGAGTAATAATAAAAAAAGAAGATTCAATTTATAACACATTAAATAAATGGGGGGGTTATGAATTCGAAAAGTCACGACCCAACCCAAGATACAATTTATAACAAATTAAACAACTGCGGATTAGAAACTTGAAAAGTCACAATGAATCACTACAAGAAATTATAGGTACGACGATATTTATTTAGCGACATATATAATAAATGTCGCAAAAAAACTAATTCTTTGACATTTTTTAAGAAATGATATAAATAAGTGACAATTAATAATAAATGACAAAACTATTGAGACTTTTGTAGTGAAGCGTCACAATATTAGTCAATATTTACTGACATTTATCACTAATGAAGGAAATTTTCTAACTTTATAATGTTTAATCCAAAACAAAACACTATTACGAAGGCTGTCTTCTCTAAGAACCCTACCAATCTCTCCCATTTCCTCAACTCCAATTAGGCGTCCCCCGTTTTATGTTCACTAAACCGCCGAGGTCGCCATATGGTGCAGAGAATTGAAAGGGAAAACTACATGGGTGTTAGATTGTCCTAGAATTCTAAACACGACAGAAGGTTACCAAAATTTAGGCCGCCTTTTACACACAATCAACTGCCATATTTAATCTATTCTCTACATCTGGTTGAAGATATTAAGATTTTGGTAAGTATTTTTCTGTTCTAATTTGTTCACTGGATTGAATTTCTGGTTAACTATGTGTACCTTTTGTCGTATTCTGTTCATATCAACTGTTTGAGCAAATGCCTTAGAGGATTAAATAAAATTTAATGGACTGACTTTGTTTTATTAACATGAGGTTAAAGTTTATACTTTCTTTGATTCATCTTTTTATGTTGAACTGATTTTATAATGGTAGTGATGAGATTATTAACATTATTTGGTTGTTCAATCGTTCTTACTGCTATAGAACCTTGAATCTATTTACTAGTACATACGATATTCATCAAATGACGCAAAAGGTAATGAATTAAATTATAGGACTATCTTTGCTTCAACTAGATAGTTTGTTTGATTAGTATTTGTTACTGACAAACTATTCTATATTGAGCGAATGAAATGGCACTCTCTATTGTTTCCCTATAAAAGAGAAAACAACTGAATATTAAATTGATCTGAAATGTCTGATAAGATATGGATTACTAGTTTAATCTTGATCTTGGTATTTTTGACATGTTAAAACTTCTTTAACGTGTTGAACCTTATTCGCTGCTGAATCATTTGATGTTAGTTCCAACAGAAGGATATTATATAGTAACTTGTCTTGTGTTAGAAATATTGTGGTTGTGCTTGATGGCGACTCTAATCCAAACAGCACGGTAAATTAAATTGAAAAAGAATCTTGTTTGTGATGGTTGAATGAAAAATAAGCTTGAAGATACTTATTTATGAAGGGAAGGTAAATGACCATTACGATTATGTGTTTCATGATTTAGATTGTGGATGGTGTAGGGTATCTTATGAATATCAGCTTGATTGACAATTTATGTTGGATAAGGAACATTGACATTGATGTTAGGACTGAAATTGATCAATCATTCTGTTGAATTCAAGAGTAGAGAAGGAATTAGTAAGCCTGTACAATGATACTAGTGATTGCTAGTTCCTTTTATGCACTGTTAGGAGTTTCGGGTTCAAATATCTTGAGCTTTCTGCAAAATTATTATTATTTGTCTTAAGTTGATTAAAAATTCCATTTTGTCAAGGTGATCTTGATATCGTTTCTTTCTACATATGATACCTTAAGACTGGAGAATAATATTTTTTTTATGTTATTTCTCTTTGATTTTGCTTATAGAAAGTATTATCCACCATTCTCGGGAAAATAAAATATGGTAATTAGGAAAAGATTGCAAAAGATATTCACCTAACGGCTGGCTGAGAAGGGTACATCATTTGTGAAACACTTCCTACAGTTGTATATAACTCTATCTCTATTAGTGGAATGATCTTTTCCATAAGCTAATGATGCCAAATTGATTTAGTTCTCTTAAGCTTCTACTATTGAATGTGGTTTTATATTTTCTTGCAGATAGTAGTAGTCGCATGATTCCTGTATTTCTTCAAGATATTATATGAGGTTCAATCGCATTGTTCTTTTTGCTACTTAGTAGTTTTCCTAAATCAGTTTAGCAATGGTTCTTTTTTTTTTTCAATTTCAGTTGTTGGAAGAAGAGTTTAGAGGAATGTGAGAGCAACTAATTCAAAGGAATCCTCGACTTGAGGAAAACATGAACACTAAAGTTAAAACTATGACCGACGATGATTGTTTTGGAACTTTCAAGGGAAAGTTTATGTAATTGAATGTTGAAGTAACTATGTGTTTGATTCAAGTTGTTTGTACTGTACTGGGAATTCAAGTATTGGAATGAGCGTCAATGTTACTTTGAATACATTATTGTTAATTAATTATTTTCTTTTAATGTTTAGCCATGATTAATAATTATTTTCACATTCATATTAAAAGTCAAAAACTATAAAAAAAATTAATGACATTTATATATATCTGTCGCAAACACAATAGGTTAAGCACTCAAATTATTGACATTTGATAATGTCATAACTAAATGTCACAAATTTTTTTATGACACTAATTTAAATGTTGGAAAAAAACGACATTGGAATTTCCGACATTTCATTTAAATATAAAATAAATGTCGGTAAGTGATTTTGTGACACGTATGTGACTTACGCCGACAGTTATAAATTGTGGTCATATGTCGTATTTCTTGTAGTGAATGAAGATGTGTGAGTTATGAATATGCATTTTTTAAATTAAGATAAATGATAAAAATAATAGGGAAAAGTCAAAAAATAAGAAAAAAAATAAATAGGATTCTTACACTATAAGAGATGCCACATTCAAGTCCCTCCTTTATATATATATNTGGCATTATATAAATTAGAAAGAAAACATAAGCACTGCTGAAATAGACTAAAAATAATCTCTGACGGAGAAGATTATTTATAGCTGATCGTCAAGCAATTAATAAATAACGAACCGTCAAGAAACAATAATTGGTCGCATTAATGTTAAACATTTTCAGGTAACAACAGTTCCTTATTACAATATCCCACGAAAGAATCCATGGTTATTTGATGCCTCCAGATAATTCCTTTGGTTTTATTGTTCAATATACTTTATGATAGCAACGTTCTCCATTTTTTTGGGGGTCAGTTTAGAAGACATTTTCTTTTGTTAATTGGTCATTATTTTGGATCAGTGATGGACTAAAGAGTGATTGTTGTACCTTGAGGAAGGAGGAGCACTTTCAATGATTAATTTCTCTTCAAAATCAGTTTAGACAAATTCTTGTTTTTTTTACTTCTCGCAATTTAGCTTAAATAAAATGGCTACAATAATATAAATTTGTAACTACTCTTTATCTTCTAAGATATTGCATGTACTTCTCCCCTTTTTGTATTTAATAAATGAAATCATACATATATCCTTGCGTTAATTTCTAATATAGTAATATATCAACCAAGAAAATTCATGACTTTTATGTATCTAGGGTAAGAATATTGACATAATATAACTCAAGATCAAACATGGTATTAGGATACAATATAATGTAGATTGCAAGAACAGTTGCATATTTGTTTGAGTCATACCGCGGATTGACGAAGAACTGGTCTCTCTCTATTACCCTTCCTCTAAATGGCGACGCCATTGAGACAGTTACCACACACATCAGATGATATGAAATAACTTTGACTATGCGTTTATATAAGATCTAGAGAGGGGATCTAACTGTAATTAATGAAACCATGATGAACTCTTATATAACGGGCCTCATCTAGTTGAGCCTACCTATAGCACCACACTAGACCCACCAAGCATATCAAGTGCACGATCTAATAACTAATTATCACACTTATAATTGAGTTCACGTTTATAGACTATTATCAAACCCGGTCATTTAAATATAAATAAAATATTTAATAATAGAAGCTCTTTTTCTTATATCTAAATTCTCCGTTGACGATGAAGTGACTTCGATGTGACTGGTTATGCTATGAAAACAGAACTAGCACGCCTTTTGGATGGCGATTATGCAAGGATTCTTTGTACAGTTGATCGTGGTTAATCTGCCAGCTTTTTCCAGCTTTCATTGATGCCGACTTCAGTAATGTTCGTCCTCCACTAATCATAGTTGAAAACTTGTCTTTATTTGAGTTTTCTATGCTCAAATTTTTGTGCGACCTACCTTTCAAATTCGAGTCATTGCTTCCCTTCTTAGATTTGGACATCTCACTTCCATGTAGCTAATTAAGGGTGTACATAGGTTGAGTTGGTTCGAGTTTTTCAATTATCGAACCAAATTAATTTTGTCAGGTTCTTAAATTTATAAATCAAATCAAATTAACAAAAATCGAGTTTAATTTTTCAATATCGATTTTCGAGGTGCGGATAATGAGTTTCCGCCCCGATAAGATTTTAAACGAGTTTTCGCCCCCGATAAGATTTTACTAACATAATAGATAGGAGATTGCGTACATTCGTCCTCCCGGACTAGACCGGCGCTTACCGCTACCTCCGAGACCGCTAAGTATATTAGCAATTGTTCGCCTTCCTCCAGTTTTGATAGTAACGGAGGGCTCAATAGATACCGTTTCAGGTATTTTAGAGCCTGTTGGCATTCTGGAATCCACTTGAAGTTGTTCTTCTTCTTCCAAAGTGAGAAGAAGTGATGACATTTTTTCGAATATCGAGAAATGAACCTGCTTAGAGCGGCCAGTCTTCCGGTTAGTCTTTGGACTTCTTTCACATTTTTCAGCTGGTATGGAATGTTCTCGATGGCTTTAATCTTGTCGGGATTGACCTCAATCCCCCTTTGTGACACCAAGAAATCCAAAAATTTACCGGAGCTGACTCCGAACACACACTTTTCGGGGTTAAACTTCATGTTATGCTTCCTTAGGATGTCAAAGGTTTCCTGGAGGTATTTCAAATGGTCACTTGTGTTTAAAGACTTAAGCAGCATATCATCTATGTAAACTTCCATTGTTTTTCCTAGTTGCTTTTCGAACATTTTGTTCATGAGCCTCTCATAAGCGGCTCCGGCATTTTTAACCTCGAAGGACATCACATTGTAGCAATATGTGTCAAAGTTCGTTATGAACGAAGTTTTTTTCTGATCCTCCGGGTTCATCTTAATTTGATTGTACCTAAAATAGGCATCGGGGAAACTCATCAACTCGTGTCTGGCCATTGCATCAATCATTTGATCAATGTTTGGCAATAGAAACAGGTCTTTTGGGGATGCCTTATTCAGATCCTTATAATCTACGCACATACAAAATTTATTATTCTTTTTTGAAACTACTACTACGTTAGATAGCCAATCGGGATACTTTACCTCCCGGATTAAACCAATATCGAGCAATCGAGTTACCTCTTCTTTAACAAACTTGTTTCTGACCTCGGCAATTCGGATCTTCTTTTGCCTAAACGGAGGGATGCTTGGGTCAAGGCTTAGCTTGTGCACTACCACATATAGCGAGATACCTGTCATATCCGCGTGCGACCATGCAAAACAATCAACGTTAGTTTCATGAAATTCAATAAATTCTTACCTGAGCTCGGGTTTAGTTCCCTAGTGGAACATCCTCTCTAGAAACCTTTTGAACAATGCCACATCTTCGATTTATTCCGTCGTGGACTTGGTCGCCTCCGTTTCTTCCGTTACGTGGAAATACCTTGGTACCCCGTGGGATTCCAACGACTTCTCCCCTTTATCGTCTTCATTTGGTTCGGGAGCAGACGTCAATTCCTGTAATTACTATACCGCTTGTTCCTTCCCTTTACTGGTGTAAATCGAGACCATGTTCATCTCCCTTGCCGTAGGTTGATCTCCTATTATTTGTTTGATTCCATCTAGAGTTGGAAAATTCAGAAGTTGGTGATATGTTGATGGTACGACCTTCATCTCGTGTAGCCATGGTCTGCCAAGAATCATATTATAGCCCATGTGACCGTCTACTACTTCGAATAAGGTAGTCTTCATGACCTCTTCGGCTTTCGTGGGCAACAAGATCTCCCATCGGATTCTCACACTTGCTAAGTTGAACCCGACGAGGAGTTTTGTTACCGGAATGCTGCTTCCAGTTAGCTTGGCTTGCTTCAGCACTCTCCATTGAATGATGTTGGCTGAATTTCCTTGGTCCACCAAAACACGTTTAATTTTAAAATCTAGAACGTTAAGAGAAATTACCAAGGCATCATTGTGCGGCAGTAGAAGTCCATCGGCGTCCTCTTCTGTAAAGGTGATGTCGTCCTTGGTGACTTCCCTGAGTCTCTTGCTATGAGTCACTGATACCTTTGTCTTTTTTGCTGCCAAAAAAGTTACACCGTTGATCACGTTCCCCCAAAAAATCATGTTGATGGTTAGTCGCGGAGGGAGGGTCTTCTCCTGTGATGACCCAGAATGTCATCTTTAACTTTAATAATTAATTTTGTGTCCTAAGACCTCGAAAAGTACTATTTATCACTCCTCGACTTGCGTGCATAGTCCGTATAATTTTCCGAAAAGTTTTTATGTGCAAAATTGATTAAAATGTGAAATAGAGCCTTAAAACTCAACTAAATTGACTTTGGTCAATATTTTGAGCAAATGGATCCAGATCAGTATTTTGACAATTTTGTTAGATCCGTATCGTAATTTGGGACTTGGGCGTATGCCCGGAATTTAATTTGGAAGTCCCTAGCTCAAGTTATGACCATTTAACGGAAACTAGGAATTTAAAGGATAAAAATTTCCAAAAGTTTGACCACAGAGTTGACTTTTTGATATCGTGGCCGGAATCCGATTCTGAAAATTTGAATAGCTCCATTATGTCATTTATGACTTGTGTGCCAAATTTGAAGTCATTCCGGATTTATTGAATATGTTTTGGCACGAGATTTACAAATTGAAAAGTTTAAAACTCAAAAGTTCGAATCGGGATGTGAATTGTAATTTCAGTGTTGTTTGACGTGATATTAGACCTCGAGTAAGTCCGTATTATGTTACGGGACTTGTTGGTATATTCGGACGGGGTCTCGAGTACCCCGAGTGTGATTCAGATCGAAATCGGATCGAGTTGTGAACTTAAGCCAATTCTCAAAATTTCTGCCTCTGATGTAATCGCACCTGCGAGGGTCTTGGTCGCAGGTGCGATGCCGTAGGTACGGCGGAATTGCGCAGATGTGGGACTAGGCTGACCTAGGGTCTTCGCAGGTGCGATTATTTTTGTGCAGAAGCGGATGTCGCAGTTGCGACAGGAATGTCCGCAGATGCGGAACTTCACCTGGCAGCCTGGCATTGCAAATGCGAGCCTTATCTCACAAATGCGGAACTTTTATCCGCAGATACGAAAATGATTGGGCAGAGCCCATAAATTCGGAAGT